ATTTCTATTATTATTAACAAAATAATAATAATTTATAATTGAAATTATCTTTATAATATTATTAAATTATAGAAATTCGTCTTGAAAATTTTTCTATATGGGTAATCCTGCCTTGACATCATGGCAAATTCACCAGAAATTTGTCATGATGGTTTCCAGGGGGAATCGCGTGGAGGTCAGGTTGACCTCTGACTTGGTATATTGCTAGGGATGCGGTCATTAGTATCCTTTACTGACAATCCCATTCTTTATGAGGAGATCCTCCTCATTTCTGCTACGATCATGCAGAGAAGCTCCAAGCATAGACCTCTCCGTTGCCCTCTGAGTGACTTACAGCTTATTAATGAGTCCCATAGTTAGCGATCACGTCTCTATATTCTAAGTCATCACTCGCGATACAAATCTAAACATATAAATAAAATTGGAGTGTCTGTTTGTAATATTGAAATAACCGTTTTTTTACTACATGCATATGAATATAAATATGGTACATACACCAAAGTAACATTTTTTACAATTTTTGTCTGGCTGTCTGTTTATTCCGGCTAATCTCTGAAATGGCTGGATCGATTTTGACGGGACTTTTTTTGGCAGGTAGCTGATGTATAAAGGAGTGATTTAGGCTACTTTTATTTTAGAAAAATAAAGTTAAATTCCACGCGGAAGAAAGTCGCGTGAACAGCTAGTTATTAATATAATCCAAATCTTCGATTGCCTTCTATATTTTACTTGACGTGCCATTAAAATCTGTTGAGCTCCCTTATAATTCGGTCTTCATAGGATCGTTTGATGTGTACACGAGTATCAAACGAAATGAAAAGAATATTCCTCTTTACGTACAGCAAGAAATGTATTTCTTTGTGACAGTCGTCATTTTGCTATCTTTTTATATATATCTCAATATTTTACCTATCTTAAATATACCAAGTACAATACATTTTCTGTACCATATTATATATAAAATTCTCGTGTCACAGTTTTCGTTCCCATGCACCTCCGAAACGGCTTGACCGATTTCATGAAATTTTGTGAGCGTATTGAGTAGGTGTGAGAATCGGCCAACATCTATTTTTCATCCCCCTAAATGTTAGAGGTAGTCCACCGCTAATTTTTTTTTTTTTATTTTAAGGCAAAACAATGTTTGCCGGGACAGCTAGTAATATATAATAGTTATGGTATTACAACTCATTGACAGAGGTAGGAGTGTATTTTTTTATTGTACTAGATGACTGATATCCGCGAATGATAGTAACATTTTATATTTTACAAAAAGTTAAAAAAAGTTTGCTAGCTGATACACGCAAAAAAAAATTATAAAAAAAATATATTTTAGAATGAGTCTATATTATTTATTTAAAAAAAGAAGTAAGAATTTTAAAACAAAGTAGTCTAAGTTGCTCTTCATAATATTAGCTATCTGTGAGTGAAAGTCCCGTCAAAATCGGTCTCGCCATTTCGTAGTAGCAAGAACAACTAGATAGACAGTTATTTCTATTTTAAATGATTTTTTGATATATATATATATATATATATATATATATAGATGCAAAAAACATTATATATTTTCATTTCAAACATGGGTATATTTTCAAACATATTTATCTATAAGCCGGTATTGAAATTTCATTCATAATTCGCTTCTAAGAGGGATATTACATTTTCAAACGTTATTCACACAGATCAAAGCTATATGAAATCGTCAATAAAATGTATTTTCGATATCATTGTAACGTTTCACAACACGTCTCTATATATAGCTTAGGATTAATATAAGATTAGTATATAATATCACTATATAAATCATTTTCGATTGAATTGTTGGTATGTACCTATATACTTTTTTTAAGTCTTCAAGAAACCATTCAAGTCTTTGGAGTGTTCGGAGTGTGGAAGACGTTCTTCTAGGTCGAAATCTAGGTTTGTCAATCATTTTTCATTGCAGCTCCACTCCTTTTCCATTAATTATTTTCAAGAATTTTTTCAATATAATAAACAACTCTCTCTTTTATATATTAATTTATAAGAAAAAGACTTTTCGTTAATATATAATCATGACACACAAAGCATTTTTGAATAATCATACAGAGATTATTTTTTTTTTTTCTATCCCCGTCGTAATCCATTCGAATGTAGTCATCGCGTATGTAGAAGAATCTTTCACACAGATCCATCTCTTTTTCGTGTTGCTCATCCACATTCAAATAAATTCTTAAAATATTACGTTCCTACATTTATAAGTCGAAATTTCAACCTCTCTGAAATACAAACTACTCTAATGTATTCATTCTTTATTATTCTTGTCAGTCAACATATTAATATACAATATCTGCATGCATCGTCTTTCATCCGTAATTCACAAACATTATTTTTAAATTCTTCTTTCAAATAAATTTCTCTCACCGGTTTGCTTACAATAGCCACTACATCATTACATAGTAATAAAACAATTGAAAATAAGAACTGAATTAAAAGGACGCTGTATTTTTATCTATACAAAACGATTTATTTAACATATATATGTTTTTCTGAAAATATAATCTTTAAAAATACGCAACGGACGTTTTGAAGCAGTTTTTTTAATAGAGTGTTAGAGTGACGTTCTTTCAAGTATTTTTACTTCCTTTTCCATTAATTATTTTCTTTTCAATAAATACGGTCCACTCTCTCTTTTATATATTACTTTATAAGGATTCGTAATCCAACAAGCACTTTTGAATAATCATACTTATTTTTTTAATCTATCCCTCATAGGAATGTAGTATAGAAGAACGAGCAAGAAACTTTCGTGTTCCTCTTTCAAGTTTCTACTTGTACAGTCTTTAAGTTTCTTGAAACTATCTAAGTTTTTGAGTTAAGTTAACCGTGAGGATATTTGATTGTTTAAAGCATTGACGTGATAATCTAGACCCATACCATAAATCATGCTCTCTTTTGTAAAATAAATATAGTATTTGACGTGATAGTCGAGATGCTTATCACGTCTATATCCGATGGTAATCGTTTCCATCAGGTGGACCTTGTTTATCAGTCGTGTTACAGAAAAAATATTACTGATATAATTCTGCTCTACCTACTTTTTTTAAATAATCGTTTTTTTTACATATTTTTGTATCAATGAAGATATTAGTTCCCCATCCATCATACTTAAGGTTTATTTATACTACAACGGATGGCGAGGAGCGACCCTAGCGACTGTAATGCATATAGAAAATAACCAGTAGAAAATGTTAGTCTTATTTATATTATAAACGCGAAAGTTTGTAAGTATAGATGTTTGTTACTCTTTCACGCAAAAACTAAGGAATCAATTTTGATAAAACTTTGCAGTAATATAGCTTATCCATCAGAATAACATACAAGCTATATTTTTTAATGAAATTTACCGCGGTTGAAACTACGGGTACAGCTAGTATATAACAAAAGTATTTCCAAACTGATACGATATTGAAACCTTCAAAAGAGCTTATTCCTTCTTAAAAGGCCGGCAACGCACTTGGAATTCCCCTGGTGTTGCGGGTGCTCATGGTCGGCGGTAACCATCAGGTGAGCTCTAAAGTCATTAGAGACCTAAGCTGTAAAAAAAATACAATATTTTTGTGATGCACTGTCGATTTACGGGACACGATTGCATGAAGCCTATAAAATGATTAGTTAATTCCCTCTGCTTTTAACTTCTAAGGATATAATTTATTATTTTTCTTTTCACAATGATTATATAATAATAACATCCATACTTACTTACACACTTTCGCGTTTATTTATTTATTTATTCACTTACACAACTATTATTACAGGCCTAAGCATAATACAATAGTATATCTAATTCTATATTATACATGTTCATTTATAATATTACAAACTACTCGCCTCAGCTTCGTACGGGTGTACATCTAAATAAATATATATAACTCAAAGGTGACTGACATAGTAATCTATAAACGCACAGCCCAAACCACTGGACAGATCGGGCTGAAATTTGGCATGCAGGTAGATGTTATGACGTAGGCATCCGCTAAGAAAAGATTTTGATTATTTCTACCCCCAAGGGGACAAAATAGGGGATGATGTCAATTTTAAACCGATCGGGCTGAGACTTTGCATGTATAAAGCTACTATAACGTAGGCATCCCCTAAGAAAAGATTTTGATAAATTCCACCCCTAAGGGGATAAATTAACGCGAGAATTAATTAACGCTTTTGCCTGTGGCTTCACCACAGGCAAAAGCTATTATACATATACAACTGTTTTTTCGTAATAAAAAGTAGCCTCTCCTGTCTCTACGTATAAACTATCTGTGTATCAAATTTCATTTAAATCGGTTCTGTAGTTTCGGCGTGAAATCGCGACAGACACACAGACAGAGTTACTGTCGCATTTATAATACTAACAAGCTACCCACCCCGGCTTCGCACATGTATATACATGGTATGAGTGTACATGTACTATACATAGAAACCTTCCTCTTGAATCACTCTATCTATTAAAAAAAACTCTTCTAAATCTTATTTTTTTTTTTTTTTATTGGGTTGTTTGGGCTATTGTCAGATGTGTAGCACCTGTAGCACTGCGACCTGCATAGTTTTAAAGCCCTTTTCAGAGTTCGCATACCCGTGGACAGAGATATATCGTTTTTAATCCTAAAGTGTAAATTTTCCTAAATCTTTTCTAAATCTTAGTAGTTGCGTAGTTTTAAAGATTTAAGCATACGTGGACACAGATATATGAATTAAATATATCTACGTATATGTATAAGTTACTAACATAGTTTTATAAGTTTTTTTTTACTAACACAATATGGATGTAATCCGAATTAAAATTAAAATAAATAAATATAGGGACAGACAGCGACAGCGACTTTGTAATGATAAGATTTTACGTCGCCTGCATGCCGCGTCCATCGCCCGTTGTAATACGTGTACACCTCTTTAAGTGTGATCGCATGCTGACAAGTGCATCCAAGTATGTAGACCAGAGTCCCGTTAGCTGACTCCACTCTACCATCTACCATCAGTACGGTGTTGTGCGCAGGTTGAAACGCGCGAGTGTTGTGTTTTTTTAATATAGCGGTGAGTTCCGTGCCCATTACTGTACTGTTTTGTTTTTATTAACCGACTTCAAAGAGGAAGTCGTTAGTAAGATTGTGTTTTTTTTATGTCATATGTAATTAATATGAAAGAATATATTGTTTTAATTTACTAACTTTATTAATTTATATATATATAAATTATTTTTATTAATTAAGTAAATATCTCTAATTTTATAGTATACTTTTTAAGCCTACACGAATAATGCTAATTTTATTCATTTATATTAATTATATAGATTTTTATTTTGTTTTATATTTCATGAATATATAAAAAAATATATTTACAGATTCCTTTTTAACAAAAAAAAAAACATTAATTTTCAGTCATTTTTTTAAGCATTGCGTATCACCAATAGCGCTGATATTAAGAATTTCTTTCTTCCATTCTAAAGTGTTTTCTAATTTCGTTGACAATTTTTTTTCACGTCATTAACTCTGATTTTAAGAATTTTCTTCTGTCTTTCAATCTAAAATGTAATCTTTATTGGATAGCGTTTTTTTGGAATATCGTCATACCGGCTCTGCTTTAAGGTTCAATTTTAAATTAATTTTATTAAAACTACAATTTTTATCTTATAAAAAAATATTAAATTAATGACGATTTAAATACTGACGTAGTTAATTTATAGATCTTGATAAATAAAAGAAATTGGTATATGAATATATAAAAATCTTATGATTTCTATCACCGATACTAAGCGTGCACAGAATCGAAGGTATTCGTCATCGACGGTGCGTTGCGTCAAGTACAGTTAAAACCAATCAACATCATATAATATACATAACGCGTTTTTTTCATATTCCCGTTAGTTGAAATTTATGGAATTACATCTATTTCTGTCTAACTGTTATCCACAACAACATTGTTGTTATCTTTAATAGATAGTTTAAACAAATTCATTCTGTATATACTCGTACACATAAAATTGAAGTGTCTGTTTGTAGTTTCTTATAGCTATAGCTTTTTCTTAATTGCATAGGAAAGTATACATTATACGTACTTACATAAATAATAATTAATAATATTTTTGTCTGTCTGTGTGTTCTCTGACACGCTTTAACCGATTTGGCCGCGCGATTTCTCTTATACATTGTGGTATATAAGGTACATATATTAAAATACTAATTTTAGAAGTTTTTCTTTGTCCGTCTGTTTCTGCTTGCACTCTGAAACGGCTTGGCCGTGCTTTTCTTTAATGTCTGATGGTAATTTTTTTTTTAAATATTGTGTTTGTGTTATTCCAATCTGTTTACAAACAAAAACGTTATACACTCAATGCACATATAATAATACATATATTATTGATTATACATATTATCAACTCAAATACATAAAAAATTCGGGACATTTCACGTTTGTAATGTAATATTTGTACAAATTAAAAAACATTTAATTTCTCCAATACTTGTCATTTTAGTCCTTTGGAATGTATGAGTGATACTGATCACATGATGACGTGATAACTGCGTGCTGTTCATCTATAAAGGTTACTCTTACCATATGATGGAATATCAACTTGTTTCAACCTTCCCACTAACTTTGACGGCCTAAGTGATTTAGCGGTTTAGCACAACGCTTTACTTCTTACGGTCGCGGGTTCCTGGCACGGTACAAACATTTGTGTACATAAGTGTGATTGTTTGTATCGGTCTGACCGTTTTCTATGTATATTATGTAAATATTGCTATACAAAACTCCATTAAAATCAGTTTATCTATTTCGTTATAGAAATGAAATAAATCAGAATGACTTTCACATTTATAACATAAGTAAATATGTATATAGATACTAAACAGATATGGTTTTACATTCCGATGGCCGCATTTCATTATCACAAAAAGAATGAGAATATCTGAACCACGGTACTAGTTGAAGGAAAGACCAGACGAGTATCATATTTCTTAAAAATCGTTCAGCGATCTGGTCAAGATCGCTGGAAGGCATTGGATGCGAGCAGCGCAGGACCGATCGTGGAGCCCCCCTCCACGATCCTGCGCTGCTTTGTTCAGTAGTGGACGTCTTCCGGGCTGATGATGATCTGACTGACTCATAATAATAATTAAGCTAGCTAAAGCTTGTGTTATGGGTACTAGATGACTGATACAAATACATAGATATTATTTTTTTCGTATATACATAGATTGAAAACACCCAGACGGATACAAACAATTATACTCATAAATACAAATGTTTGTACCGTGAGAGGAATAGAACCCGCGACCGTCAGGTAGTAAAGCGGTATGCTATACCACTAGACCATCGAGGCTGTTACTGTTCTATCACATTGTAACTAAAACACGTCTTACAAAGTTAGCTACTTGCCGACTAAAATAGGCGAGACTGACCCACGCCGACGGGAGGGAAAGGTGATTGTTAGAAATGTTTCCTAATAACCCCATTGCTACCAATGTACCATGTCAGGTAGACCTCCACGTAATTCCCCCTGGAAACCATCGTAATAAATTCGTGATGAATTTACCACGATGGGCTAACTGACCTGACCTCATGTTTATCTTATCATCCGTCAGCGTAAACCGTTAGCGCAGGCGGGTGCACCATTCCATTATCATTCATAAGAAAAAAACAAACGCAGACGACTTTTTATAAAGTCTAACTCGGTATAACATTTATGACGACCTCGGTGGTCTAGCGGTCTAGCACACCGCTTTACGACCGGTGGTCGCGGGTTCGATTCCTCGCACGGCATAAACATTTGTATTCATGAGTATGACTGTTTGTATTAGTCTGGGTGTTTACTATGTACATATTTCCAAAAAAATATCTATGTATATGTATCAGTTATCTAGTACCCATAACACAAGCTTTAGTTAGCTTAACTTGGGTCCAGATGGCACTGTGTGAATTGTCCTGTTATTATATTATATTTATCAAGTTTTCGAATCAAATCAAATAAAAATCATTTATTCATATATGACATTTTAGTCGCTTTTGAACATCATGTTTTTTGTATTAATAATTTTTATCATACCATCCAGTTCAGTATAAAGATTACTACAATTGAGAAGAACTGGCATATAACTTATTGATATAAAAATATATTATCATTGGATTATGATATAGGTGTTTCAAAAGCGATTTGTGAGAACAACTCATCCGGTGCCGCAGCGCCGGCTATGCACGCGGTCGTTCGTGAATTCTCCACGAAGTGAAAGCTTAGACCTAACAATGTTTAGAACTGTAATTAAAAATAAATTAGGTTTCCGTGTTATGGAAAAAAAATCACAAATCTCGCAAATATTGCTGGTCGTGTTTTTGATGCGACATTCCGAATGAGCGGTATATTAAAAAATAGGTAGGTATGACTATTCAAAAGTGCTTAAATGTAAGTTGATTTGTATAAATGTTTCTCTAATTACAACGTGGATTACTATAATTGGTTAAGACTAGTAAAATTGTAAATCTAAATATATATAACTCAAAGGTGACTGACATAGTGATCTATCAACGCATAGCCCAAACCACTGGACGGAACGGGCTGAAATTTGGCATGCAGGTAGATGTTACGACGTACGCATCCGCTAAGAAAGGATTTTGATTAATTCTACCCCCTAGGAGGTAAAATAGGAGATGATGTCAATTTTAAACCGATCGGGCTAAAACTTTAAAAGATACTATGACGTAGGCATCCCCTAAGAAAGGATTTTGATAAATTCCACCCCTAAGGGGATAAATTACCGCGAGCGAAACCGCGGGCAATAGCTAGTTAGTAATATAAGCTGTAGTTATGCCGAAATAAATAAATAAAATAAATAATTTTCTATTCTATTCTATTTAACCTCAGGGAAGTGTAAAGAAACGACCGAGATAAAGGACAAAATATTGGTGCCAGAAAAAAAAAACTCGAAATTTAACAGTATAAAACACAATGGCTAGATTAAGTATAAATTCAATATAAACAATACTTTAATATATATTTCAATATCTTATAAGGCTACTATTTAAAAAAAATATTTATTTTTATTTATTTATTTATAAACTCTTTATTGCACCAATAGAATTAATACATAAGAATTACACAGAAAAGAGATATGGAGTACAAAATGCGGTCTTATCGCAAGAAGCAATCTCTTCCAGACATTATATATTTAATTCTACTGAATGTCAAGTTAATAATAAAAAGTTTTTTTTTATATATTAGTCCTTAATATTATACTACAATATGGGCCAATATTGTTATATAAAGAATATTAAGTTATCTAAATTAATATAAAAAAATAAAAATTGTCGGTCAAATTATTAATTTTATATTACAGATTTTTATAATTAGAAAAACATTTCAAGTATCGACACTTTTTAAATGACAAAAACTGAATGTATCAATAATATTATTACAATATAACATTTTATTTTAATACATATTAATCCTAGTAAATACATCCTAATACTTGAATCGAATAAGTATCGATTGTAGAAATTCTAATTTACTATTTTTTGTTGATATTTTGTGTAGAATTTAAAACAATATTATATCAACTAAATACTATATAAAATGTAATTTTTAAGCTATTGTATCTAGCGGCAATACTTTTATAACTCTATGGCGAGTCGGTCAGGTGTTGTTTCCCGGTACCTAGATTCTAGATTTTACCAACTGAACCAACTTTCGCTGGGTATAGCCCTTGTATATCTATATGTTGTATGTTGTATATCCGCTTTCATTTGTTACAGTTGAAAATGCACAATGATTTTGTTGCTTGTGTTTCTAATAATCTAGTACGGAGACTAGTAGTTAAATGATTTTTATTTATATACTACCTTTTGCCCGTGGCTTCGCTCGAGTTAATTTATCCCCGTAAGGGTGGAACTTATCAAAATCCTTTCTTAGGGGATGCCTACGTCATAGAAGATAAATACATGCAAAGTCTCAGCCCTATCGGTTTAAAATTGACAAAATTTCATCCCCTATTTTATCCCCTTGGGGGTAGAATTAATCAAAATCCTTTCTTAGCGGATGCCTA